CAAATTTATTTTCTGGTTTTTGTTTTAAGTCTTAATTGCTTACTGTCTCAGCTCTGACATTCACGTGCTTCTGGTCTGACTGCCTCAGGCAGTATCACAGTTTTTCAATATAATAAACTTTATGAACTCATTGATAGGCATTTCTTAAAAATGACTATTTTTCAGTGGCATGATAAGCAGGCCCTTTGTGTCCGTCAGACTAGCCTTAGCACTTCGAGATTCTGCTGTGTAATATTTGGAGTTGCTTTTTTTCCTTAGAAAACTCTTTGAGTTCAAAACCCCAAATTTGTCGTTGTCAAGGAATGTGTTAAGTCACACCCAGCTGTTTGTGTGGCCCCTTCAATATTCGATCTGAGAGCTCATTGCTTGACTAGCTGTGATGGTGCCCTTAGCAATTCCAGTACCTTCCGGGATAAAGGTGTTCCTGGTCTGAGCTCCCTGGAGCAGAACCTAATCAGTGAGACACACACATGAACAGCTGTAAGTGCTGATTTTTGTTTGTTTGCTTTTACTACTTATTACAAATATAATTTGTGTATCTTACCCACTTTAGAAAATGTGGGATGGCATGAAATATGCATTAAAACTAAAGCAAGTTAACAGAAGCCCTTCCTGAGAACCGTGTAAGTGTGGAAGGCTATGCTTAAAAACAGGGTGATGATTTGAATAATGTGGTAGCGGAATGGTTTGTAACAATTCATTATGATGGCAACTAGAATTTCCTGTGTTAGTAGTGTGGTTACTTATTGTTAATTGGTAGCCTGCTTAATCTTACTAATCCCTCTTATTGTTAACCTGCCTAACTATTTTAGTAATCAGTTTATTGTTAGTAAGCCCTAACTAATAGTAGCATGTTTTGAGCTGTACAAGTGCAAGTATGCTTGTTTTCAGTTCTGTTGACAACGGGCTTCCACAGGACCACTTGTGTTCATGAAATTAAACACAGTCTCATTTACAGTCTTAATTATCAGAAAATAACAGTATTTATTTCTCGTAAACATCTGTCTTCTCTGTATTGCAGCCACTTAAGCGTGTGGGGGATTTTCTGATGTGGCTAATCCTGGGATGCATTTCTGTGAGACACTGATCATAACTGGCGAGCGCTGAAAGGGTCAAGTCCTGCTTGTCCCTGTCATCTCCTGACCTCACTCCTTTCTTTTGGCTGGACTATTTTAGTGAGTTAATTTGACTCAATTAAAGGGTCTGAAAAACAAGGAGGAAAAGAAGGGATAGGGGAGGACAGAGCTTGCGTTCTTTGGGGACAAGCAAGCTGTTTTATATGCTCAGCTGCCTAAGAAAGGATTTACTCTGTGAGTCAACATGATGTACTTCCTCTGAAGTATGCAGACATGCTTGCTAAAACTGGATTAGGGATTTATTTCTGTGTGTTTGTGCACACTTAGTGCAGTGGAAGCATCTTAATGCTGTCATTCCTTAATACAAAACTATCTAGAGCACTCTACCAGGTCCTACAATTTTCTTTGTATCTGTGCAGTTTGCCTTACGTGATCCCTGATTTCTCTGCTGCTTCATCTGACTGCTAGGTTTTATTAGTATACAGTAGAAATGGGAATTTTTCTGATACTGTTGTAAGTTTTAGTTCTGATCTGGCATTCCTCAAGTACCTGAAATTCCTGTTGAAGAAAGAAGCAATTTTGAGTTTTGCTGGAGTATGCAAGGACTTTTTTTTTTTTTTTTTTTTTTTTCCCTAGAGCCAAGTAATTACCAAAATATACAACCAGAGGTGTAAGACTGAAATTCCCCTGAAAGGTGTGGAGGACAGACCTCAAACCACTCCTAATTTTATCTCCATGTTAACATTTGTAAGCATGCAGCTGCCATATCTTGTAATAATGGACTTGTTGGTATTTCTGGACAAACGTATTCTGCAGACAAAACTGATGTTTGGCTTAAATTTGTGGGCAACTGTATAGATATAATTTTAAATATATATTTTGATCTTTAGAGTGCCTATTAGCTGCTAAGTTCAGGCAAATATGTTGCTTTCTGCCATTCAGAAGCCTGAGGATTCTAAATGAGACTATAATTAAAGAATTTCAAAATAGTGATGACTTTAAACATTTCCTTCAAGAAGTTGATTTCTTTTGTTATTCCTTGCATTTGGAGCAGCTGTAAAAGGTAATGATGTAATAATATTTTCCTCAAAGGAAAAGAGAACATAACCTCCTGTTTTTCATGTAATGGTAATTATGTACATGAGAAGATGGTTTCTAGAAGAAGCGGTACTGTATATACAAAGAACGCTTGAGAAGTGCAGGTAAATTTGGAAGGCAAACCAAAAGAATAAACACCCCCTGAAGAAGGGTGGTTGTCTGGTCGAAGCTCAAGCTGTTGTGGAACAGTCCACAGTAGCAGCTCTTCTTGCTCCCATAGCCTCACTGGAGTCCAGCTGGGTATTGTGCTCTTGGAGCCTGTGTCCTGGTTTCGGCTGGGACAGAGCTAATTTTATTTTTCCCTTCTTAGTAGCTAGAATAGGGCTGTGTTTCAGATTCGGTATGGGATTTGATATGAGAAGAATGTTGTTAATGTGCTGATGTTTTTAGTAGTTGCTAAGTCAGGGACTTTTCAACTTCCCATGTCCTGCTAGTGCGCAGGTACACGAGAAGCTGGGAGGGAGCACGGCCAGAGCAGGGGACCCAAATTGGCCAATGGAATATTCCATATCATATAGCAACATGCTCAGTATTTAGATGAGGGTCAATTGGGAAGCTCACTCTCACTTCCAGGATTGTGGTTTCAGGATTCTCTCTTCTCTGGGATTGCTAGCCGGGAACGGGCTGGGCATTGGTCAGCGGGTGGTGAGCAATCACATTGTGCATTATTTGTTTGTAATTTTTATTATTACTACTATTATTATCATCATTATTATTATTTTATTTCAATCATTAAATTGTTTTTATCTCAACCTATGAGTCTCCTTACCCTTATCCCTCCAATTCTCTTCCCCATTCCCCAGGGCAGGGGAGGATGAGAGAGCAGCTATGTAGTGTTTGCCTGCTGGCCCGGTTTAAATCATGACAGCCTGTTTTTCAAAGTTGGACACTTTGTTTTTAGAAGTGTTCAGGTGGCACTTTTATGTTAGCTTTCAAAGTTGTTACAGACTTCCCTTGGAATAGTACCACAGTGTTGCATTGCACCCAGAAAATGCAAAATATCCCAAACCACTGGCTTCTTCAAAGTAATATATATAATTATATAGGTAAATACAAAGTTAGAAATAGATATAAATAGGCTTTATGTACAGCCTGTCCATATTAACATTTTAGGGCTGTATTCAGTGCAAATTAGATAGATGTGGGTGCTGAACTGCATCTGGCTGTGACTTAAAAGTAATTTTTATTTCTCTGTGGGCCTTGTATTTCTATTTGGTTTACTTGGCAGCAATATTCCTTTTCCCATGGAATTTGCTACTCCTGAAAACATACCATTTCTGATGTCTCTCAACTTCAGTAAACGCAGCTGGCTTATTACAATGTGGGTCCTACAACCTCGTGACTCGTTTTGGCCACGGCTCACCAGACATTAGAGCCTTTCCGTAACAACCGCACTGCCTGCGAGCACAGCTCCAGCTCCTCTCAGTGGGGGGAACCTGTGGCAGATGTGAGCAGACACGTGGCAGGGGAAGTTTAGTACAGAATTTTCAACCATGGCTATTGCTCACGTTCGTTACCATGGGAATCACTTAGAAACCCAGAATGGGATCTGTAGTGTTTGTGGACTTACAAATCACATTCTTCCAGTCCTGCTGGAAATGTTCTATCAGCCATATCCTTTGATTCCATCGCCTTTTTCATGACTGCATTTTGTAGTACAGTATCTGTTGCTCAACAAGTCAGCTGGGTCTCTCTCCTTACAGCTTCAGGTGATGAATTCCCATTAAAGAAATGGTACTCCTGCACTTTGAAATTATTATTTAACACTACAGTCTACATGCAAAGTTATCCTCTTTTTCCCATGTGGTATTTGTAATCCTTTTTTTGGATACACCTTTCTCATTTTCTTTGCAAATTTTTGAACATGTTTCTACTTTTGTGCTGTGGCAGGTAATTAAAATATTAAAGACAGAATATTCAACAATCTGTGAGAAACTCTTCTATTCAACTCCCTCCTGCTAGGTAGCTTCCCAGAAAACATAACTAATCATCATTTCTCTTTTAATGAGCTTCTTACCTGAAAATGCTTCTATTATATCATCTTTTATGAATCAAATTTTTTTTTTTCCCCTCCATGCTAATTGCATCAAAATGTTTTGAGTTCTGACAAAGTACTGCATATTCTATTCTCCTTTCCTATGGTACTACTCTGCATCTTGGTAATTTACCAGAACCTTTCACCTGGATTTGGATGTTCATGTTGAGGTTATTGGGTTTTTTTTCTTTAAATATAGTGATTTGCATTTCAGTGGTATCATCATCTTAGTTTCTTCCTGTATTGTCTACATTTTAAATCATCCTTCTGACCAAACAAAGTCAAATAATGATTTGGGTTTTAGGCCAGCCTATTGTTCATCTCATGGAAGTGTAGTGTTCATGCCTCTTATTCTTTGTTTGATTAATTTTTCACTGCTGTACTTTGCTTCATGAGGTTTAATTCATCCTGATCTGTCTCCCCCCATTTTTGTTCTGTCCTCTGTGTTTTTTCTTTGCTATTTCTTTCAATTCCTTATTGGAACGCTTATCCCTTTCTTGTTTGTAATACAATTTCTGAACAGTTTTTTTGACTGAAATCTCATGATTCTTCCACTTTGAAAATCTGTGCTGCTCAAAGTGATTTCAATAGCTGGTTCCTTTAATAACAGATTTGATTTTTTTCTGATTTGAAACTTCTTCAAACAACCTTTATGAGAAAAAACATAATTTAGAGCTCCTCCGCTGCCTTTCAAAAAATTTGATTTACTAAAGAGACAAATATCTGTAATATATGACTATGAATTCAATAACATACTGTACAATTCTTCAGAATTACAGAATACTGACGAGTACAAGCAAACCAACCTTGAGTTTTTATTGTGGGGTTGTCAAGTATAACCAGAGATTGCAAACTGTGATTTTCCTTGTGAAGTAATGATTAATATTTTTGTGAATGACTTGTATACAATGGATATTTTATTTAGGTAAAAAAATAAGTTTCAAATTCATATTAGTTATGCTCATACTTCAAAAATAAATAAAAGTAGTAATAATGATACACTTCCAAACATTGTCACATAGTTTCTCAAAGTCAGAAGGAAGAAATAAGAACAGATTTAGTTAGTGCCCTTGCACGCAGCACAGAAGAAAACTAAACTAAACTAAAAATTCTTATTGTTAGCCATTGCAGATGCTTTTGCAAATCTTGTAGTTTTAACAAATGTATTTACTATTCACTGAGCATATTTTTAGCACCTGTGCAATGCTGCATTACTCTGTCCTGACAAAGCTTATTTGAAATCCTTGTTTGTGGTCTGTTACTACGTGGATGCATTCTTTTATTCTCTCCCCAAACATTGCATATGACAGGTTAGCAAGAAAGCTAGTAATAGTAGGAGAACATACTACTGATATAAAAAAAAAAAAAAAACAAAAAACCCAAACACAAAAAACAACAAATGCTCCGTTTGCATTCTTGTTGTGTAGCTGAAGCCCTGAGTAGCAAATGTGTAAGAAACTACAGCACTTACTTCCATACTTTCATGCAACTAGAGTTGCCGGGCTACTTTTTTTCTGATGTAATAAGATTATCTCTTTACAGTGTATGTTTACTGGTTCAGTAAGGAAATTTGAAGATTAATGTCAGCATTTGTTATTATGTTATGAAGAATTTTACATGACCATGGGAAGCGTTTTTCAAAACAAAATGGAGTTTAAAGAAGAGATCTGGAGCTTGGTTATACAGTAATGCAAGATCTGCAGCATAACGTATTATTCTACTGACTTACTCTTCTACCTTACTTGTCTGTGTTACAAATCTCTATGAAAGTTTAAGTGGCTTCTCTTGGTGTATTCTAGGCATTTTCTCCTCTACAGGGAGAGCCTTCAGTAACTGCAATACTGTTAATATTTTAGCTAGACCAAGTAGTTGAGTTTGATGTAACAGCTTGTTTCCTCCAAAAGCCGTAATCTTTTCTGGCCCTGGCATGCATCTGACCCATCTCTGAGCTGATTCAGCGCACTTAAGTAGGCAGAAGACGAACCCCACGGGAAGAGGAGGGAGGAACTGAACAGATTAACTGGGCCTTATTGTCTAACTGCACATCAGGTGGTCTTCCTAGCATCTGCTCTGCTGAAAACAATCAGAGGTCATGCACAACACACCCTGGTCTATTCATTGCCACCCTAGAAGATGTTGCAGGAACAGACCCCAGAAATACTGAAATGTTTGAGACTGCGGAGGCACTGCTAATGGCAAATTACTAGTCTGAAATCTCATCTGGCTTTGCCAGCATGGAGAAAGGCCTGGACATAAGACCTCAGTACTCACCAACACAGCATGCAAGACATATTATTAAACAGTGGTTGCAGTACATTTCATAAACAGAGGTGCATTAATGTCTCAGAAGACTAGAATAAAGAAGATTAATATTAGAGTAAATTCTTTTCTTGTTGGAAATTAGTAACTTGATCTTTCTTCCTGGAAAGTAGGAAAAATTTCTGCACTGGAAAGACTGTTAAGCTAAGAAGTTTAAATTCACAGAATTTTGTATAGGTGGCAAAGTGCCAAGGTTTTTCTGTGTGTCTGTTGAACTGCCAGCAATGAAGTAGATTCCTGAGCCCCGGGTCATCCTGTCTGCCTTCTTTTCAGTCTGCTTCATCATCGTTGGGTGGTTCTTCTGAATCATCATTTTCATAGTCCTCATCCTCATATCTGAAGGCACCCTCAGCTTCAGGGTCAGACTGACCTTCCTCTTCACGCTGATGGGACTGGTCAGACCGAGAGCTGGGTCTTGACTGATCATCATCCTCCTCTTCCTCCTGGGAATGGCCAAGCAGCAGGCCTGCCTTTGCTTCCTCTTCCTTCTCCTCTTCCTCCTCTTCCCAGTGCTGGTCAGAGGGGCTGGACCCTGCACGGCCAGGCTGATAAGCATGAGGGCTGGCTCTTGCCTCTTCCTCATCCTCCAGCTCGCTGGACTGGCCATCCTGGGCGCAGGCTCTGACACCTTTTCTCTTCTCCTCTTCCTCCTCACAGGACTGCTCAGACCGAGGACTGCTGTCAGCTGCTTCTTCAAAGGATTCCCTTTCTTTCACTTTATCCTTGCTGACTCTGAAAAGACAATTTGCATGTGTGATTTTATTTTCAGGTAAGATGCTTTCCAGTAGGTTTTAAAGAAATACTGCCTTCAGGTAATGTAGGACAAATCCCCATAGGCTTGTCTGGGGTGGAACTGGTGAAGAAAAAGGGAAGGGGGCACGCTAGAGTCTCCTCTTACACTAGAAAGTCACTCAGCAGTATCACTTATATAGTTAGTTTTTTTCATTTTTATTTCCTTTTGTATTATAACACCCAATGGATATTGAAAAGTAATTTTTATAAGGCTTATTTTAAAAGTTCAGTAAAGGTAATACAGGATGAAGTGACTTACTAGCCACCTGCCAATTGTTTTGGTGAAAGGAACAAATGAAAAATATTTCTTTTTCATTTTTTCTTTGAAGTTCATTATATAACATATCCAGTGCTCTCTTCTGTTTTATGAAGTAATATATAATTTAGGAAAAACAATTTAAAAAATATATACTAATGCTAATATTATTAAAGCTAACTATATAGTCAAATACCTGTGAAATAAATTAAAATTTTAAAAAACGTAAATAAACAAATAATAATAAAAACCAACAAACAAAAACACCAAAAAACCCCAAACCCACACATCAAACATTACTTTCTAATTACTAGGTATGTAGTGGCAAAAAAAAAAAAAAGAAGCTGTCAGCAATCTCTACCTTTCTCTGGCATCAGTGGAGTTACTAAAGTCTTCAGCACTGGAGCATTGTAGCAATTTCGCTGTTTGTCCTTTTTTTGAAACGAACTCTGGGCATATCCCCAGTGCTCTCAGTCTGCTAGAATAATGCTTTTCTGCAGCTATTCTGGCATTTTTCTGTAGGAAAACCACAGGGGTTATGTATTATCTAAATGCATTAAATGCCTGTCTTTTGATACGTTTGTTTGTTAGTATTAATACTCTGTTTCTTTAATTGCATCTGACAAGTTGAATGATTATTCACTGCAAGTAGGTATGGCAAAACAGTACTTGAAATTTTTACACCGGATTTTCCTTTTCTGTACTAGTTTAAATATGGTTTGCTCCCTGCACCCATTGGCTAATGAAGAGCTATATACTCTATATAAAGCTACTGAAGGAGGAGGGGGAAGATGTGGACATGTTAAAAGTCAAACAGAGCCTTCCTAGGTCTTCTCCCTTATCCCCTCTCCTCCTCCTCTGTCTTCCCCCTCTGGCAGCTGTTGCCCTAAAATAATACTATTGATTCACCTTCTTACAGTGCTATTTAGCAGATTACATAGAAGTGTATCTCTGCCTTTGAAACTGAGGGTGTAGATTCTGTTCCTCCAGGTAATAGCTCAGTGAGGAGGACTCGTCCTCCCATCTACACAGACGCTCCTGCCCCGCAGCACTGGCAGACCAGGACACCCACACAGACAGAAGGGCCAAAGGAACCCGTGATACATGACTTGCTGCCTCTCTGGGTTTGGAAACAGGTCAGAGACACGGCTGTACTGAAATGGAGAGATAAAAATACTGCACATGAGCTTTACAGTAGACACTAAGAACACTTGAATTTTCTTATCGCTGCTTTCCCAACTTAAACCTCTCACATTTTGCTTTAATTTTCTGCTGTGTTTAGAGTTATTTCCATTGTAACTGAATTGGACAACATGTTCAGAACAGCCGTCTCTGTTCCCTGTGCAAACCAGTCATGAATGCTTGCTTAGTCACAAAAATTAGTAATGTTTATATGGAGATGGGCCAACAGACATTAAAATGGACAAATACCGGTCTCAGAAGTATTTTTCAAATATCTTTTAAAAATGTTTGACTATGACTACAAATGCCTTATGCAGTATTTGAAGATAAGATTAAGCAGCAATACAGAAGCAAGACAACCTGAGTGACTCTTTCAAAAAGCAATGGCATTTGATTTACTCTTTCTTCCATTTCTTGCAACTCTTGCAAATATTCTTGCATTCTCTGCTTCTCATAATTCCTAAGGGAAAGAGAGTACAAGAGAGAAGTTATTATTCATTTATAATACAAGAAGTAATTATCTACAGCAGCTGAAAGATAAATTGCTCATGACAAACTAAATATTGTCCTACTCAAAGATACATAAAAGGTAAATTATTTTATGGTGGTTACAGGCTCTGAGGTATATTGTCTCATTTTCACAGCAATTGCTTGCCTGCAAGTACTGAACAAAAGTGTCTCTGAAGTAGTCACTTTGGATAAGCAAGAGAGGTCCTGGCTAGTGAGGTTAAATAGGAGCTGGGTTTGGATTCTTAGTTTCTTCAGATACTTAGAGGGGTTTTTTAAAGTTTGGATACCTGGGTTTTTTAAATGCTGATTTCATACAGATATTCTAATTGTTCTAAGCAAGATTAAACAGTTTGAAATGACTGATAAAATCAGAATACACCATAGGAAATTAATATAATTAAATAAAAATCAGTACTTTAAGGTAAAGCTTGATGGTAGGAATCTCACTACTTTACCAGTCTGTCTCACAAGAGGTGTGGCCACATTCTGGATCATGGTACACTTTTTACCCTAGTTGGTTTGTCAAGGGCCCGGTCAATAGAGCAGGATGATGAAACTGTTGATTCATCAACTGAAATGGTATCTCAGATCTTAGCAGGCACCAGGTGATCCAGGTAGCATGGGTTGTGATCCTGGGGCTGTGACAGACACCTCTCTGTGATGTTGCCTCGGTACTGGGCCAGCCCTAGCATTACTAAGTCAGACACTTAAGGGTAAGTAGGAGAGCTAGACTTCTGTCTCCTCCTGCCTCCTTCCCTTACCATCCATCCTCTGAATTTCTGCAATGTGGCTGTGCATTAAGGCAAGTTATTCACCATTTTAAGGGAGTGCGTTTCATTGTTGCTACTTGCTTTGTCTCGGGCGGCTTTCTACAAACCTAATTATCTATTAGAAAAGCACTTACATTAATATACCTTATTACCCAGCCTATGCTGAAATAAGCATTATTAAGTTAAGCACTTGTACCAGCCTTAATGCATCAGCACTAGGGAGGTAATCTGGCTTTGTAATAGCACAATTTCACGCGCAGACAAGAATTAAGCATGAGTGTTTTACACTACTCCTGAAATCTGATAAAGCTAAATACTGTAATGTGAAGTTTGCTGTCAGATGAACTGAAATCAAATCTGTAAACACACCCACTGCCTCTCTTAATTCTCCACCCTGCTACTCTAACTCAAAGTGTTTTGTGCTTCTGTCCTACAGTCAGCAGATCACCTGCCCAAGGATACTTAGATTATGAAGCTCATTGTTAACACTATCTGCTGGTCATCTTACAAGAGCAATTGTGCATCAGCTCTGACTCTAACAAAATAGTGAGAAGAGACTGCCTTCTTTGACCTGCATCTCTACCACTCCATCTCTGCTCTCTGGGATCCTGTGTAAGCCCTGCTTCTCCTAGACCACTGCTGCTTCCTATGGGTGCTCTGGCTTCAGCTGTCTTTGGGGGAGGTGGTAGGTGGGCACAGACGTATGCTGGATAGTCAGCGACTGCCCACGTGGGCAAACGAAATGCTTGTTGGGATGCTTCTAGCACGTCCCCGCTGAGCCGCTGCACTTCATGCTTTCAGCATCTGAGAATGCGTGTGCTTCAGCCTCTGGCATGTTTTCTCTTTCTGGTCACAGCGAAGCAACACAGGTGGTGAATAACCATTACAAAGTTTGCTGGTGGAACAATGTGCAGTATTGTCTCGCAGGTGGTGCTGTGCTATTTTAGCAAATCTGTTTATAACAGCCCAGAGTTTAAAGTCGATAAAGAATAAAACGAGAGTTTTCTCTTTTAGCTATAAAGAAAGAAGAGACCCATGTAAAGCAAAAAAAAAAAAAAAATAAATGAGGAAACCTTATTTGTTACCCTTCAACTCACAGCCATAAAGACAGCCCTAGCCCCTACCCTCATTTCAGAAAGATCTCTATCCTGGACCATATTCTAAACACCTTAAAGTTTAGCATGGTAACGTAAAAATTGCTAGTCCAAGCTATGAATCTGGTAATCGGGTGTATCTCATGATCATTCACCTTCCTATTGTTTTGCCCTACTACTGTCAGTTCTTGGCAGTTTGCCTGGTTAATGGAAATTAGGATTCATAGTTGCTGCCCAAGAATCCTGCCTGTGCAAGGAGCAGCAGGGGCAGAGCAGGCAGGACCTCTCACTGTCTCCACGTAACAGCACCTTAAATGGACGATACGGCTGCAGTGCCATCATGCCAAGACAGATTATAAACTGTGCTAAAGACTCATTCAAACAGGACTGGCTTTTTATATTTTCCCTAGGATTAAAAAGAATGGGAAGCAGAACTGATTACATTAGCCACAAACACAAGGTCAAACAGCAATTCTGGAGTTAGGTCAGCATGAGAGAGCTGGAGCCATCTGGACTGCTAGCTTGTGGCACACTGAGAAGACCCCGATGCTTTTCCCTGAGTACCACTTTTCTCAGTTGTGTGTCTCTGAATTTGGATCTCTACTAAAGGTAACTTTGGTTCCCATTCCTCCCAAGTACCAGCAGCTGCCTGGGTAGCTGTTGATACATGTACTAAGTTAAAATAATATTCCTGCTCACATTTTTCCCTCTTAAGTGGGGACCTGCTGGGACAAAGAAATGAATCGTGAAATGTTCACTACTTTGAGACAGCTAGCACCAAGGTTGTGCCAACATCTATCAGTCCAGCAGCAGAAGGATATTCTGTGACTACAGTATTCCTTTTTATTTTGATTTTTTTTAACTTTTCCTCTTTAGTTGATACGTCAATTGAGAAAACACTAGAATCTCCTGTTAGCTAATCTACAAGGTGGAACACACAGATCAAAATCATTAGAACAGGCAGCAATTTCCCAGTTGAAAAGTGGCCACTTTTTTTACTAGCTGCTTGTACAGTGTATAATCTATCAGATGCAAACTTAGACTATGCTATTTTTTACATTGTATGTTTAACATACAATGTAGAATGAGAGGTTCAGGACTCGGGGGAATGCAACAGAATACCTGAATGTTTTTAATTTGGATTTAGACATCTGAGCTAGGCTCTGATGTGGGTCATTGGCCTCAGCCCGAGCTGTTACAATTTTCTGGAGTTTTTTCGTTCTTTGTTTCTGCTTTGTTCTGTTCCTTTTTTGTTGTTCTTCCAGCTTTCTCTTTTCCTCAAGTGAATTCCTGATGGAAAAATAAACTAAGGCTGAATTAATTTTAAATCGAGAGCAAGACTTCAAAGGAAGCTTTGGCAAAGGAGATTGAAAAGAGAAAAAGAGGGTGAAAACAGGGTTGGCCTAAGAGGATACGTGGTATGTGTCATTTTAAGGGATTCAGGCATATCCTGGGAAACAGCAGTCATTTGACCCATGCCTATGGACATTCTAAGAAAAACGCACTATTTCTTTAACCATCATAAATATTAAGTCTTACGTTTAAATATTTTAAGTTTTATATTATAATTAAGCCCTTATATTAATATATTAAGTCACATATTCACTGCATGGAAGAACTGACTACGTAGGTAGAAATACAAAAGAAATCTACTTTTAAAGTTTCTATAAAATGTAGAGCATCACTAAAGTGGTCACCTTACGGCTTGCAGCCGTCGTCTTGTGGATTCTGTGATTTTTGGTGATTTAGATTCTCCAAATCCTGAGAGATGTGGGTTTGCACTTGAATGTCTCGTTTGAGGTTTATGTCTTGGAGATGCATATGGCCAGCGTGTTTCTTTCAACTTTTCTTCATCCTCTTGAATGTCCTTCAAAATCTTCCCCTTGTTTGAGGGGATATATGGAGTATGAAGATTGAAAGGTTCACAGACTGTAAGGTGTTTCATTTGTTTTTGTTGCAGAAGCCGTTTCTGAAACTTCTGGTGTAGTAGTTCAAAATCTGGGACACTTGATTTGATCTTGGGTTTATGTTCTGTTTGCTTTGGTTCGATGCCCTTGTGTTTCTTCTTTTTATTGGTGTCTTTTAAAGCCAGTCTGCTGTTAGGTACAGATGAATTACGTAGCAACTCTTCAGCTCTCATTCTGATCCTGATTTCTCTGTAGAGCTCTTCCTCCTTTAGTTTGTCATTAACAGCTGGACTATAAACACATTTAGGAACTGGCTTTGCTTTGAACAGTTCTGTTTTCTTTTCAGGTGCGGAAAGGTCCCTTAATTGCATTTTCTTCATTTCAGTCCTTTGCTTTTCGCGTTCAAGGAATTTAAATGGCTTCTGAGAAGCCAAGAGCTTGAGCTTGCTCCTCTCTTTCACAGACCTCCTGCGTTCTTCGTTTCGTTGCACGATTTCATGGTACAGTGGAAGGAAAATGGCAGCGGGCACTGGATTGGCTCGGAATTTTTTCTGACACTCTGCTTCTTCCTCCAGTTGCTTCTTCAATAAGTTATTCTCCATTTCGATCCGTGACTTTGATTTGATGTTCTGTTCTTTTTTTCTAGCTTCTCTAATAGTCATCTGGAAAGGCTTGGGCACAGTAACTTTTGGTGACCACGCTTTCTGTTTCTTCTGTATCCTTCTGAAGGCTGGTGAGCTTGGTACGCTGTGTTTGGCGTGGGAAATGTAGTCGTCCACAGAGAACCCATCCCACATTTTTTCAATCCGTTGCTTAGCAAATGTAGATGATCCAGTTTCACTAACATTTTCTTCGAACGCTAATTCTCTGTCAGACCCATCAGATATACTTGAGCTTAAGGGATCACTTAAGTCAGAGCCTGAAAAGGATTTGTGCAAATCTAGAGGCTGATACGAGCTCTTCTCCCAAGTCGGCCTTTAAAAAAAAAAAAAAAAAATGTTTTGAGTCCAGTCCAACATTGATGCAAAGCCTGTAATTTTAACTTCAGGGAATCATCATTAGAAACAAAAATGAACAGCGCTGGTGGGGAGGCGGAGAGAGGGGGAAGAGAAATAAAGAGAAGCACATTGGGCACTCACACCAGATCATAGTTGTAAGTGCATGTCCATCATGAACAATTCAGCACTTCTTATGGAAAGGCACTGTGCTTTACTAAACATGTTGCCCAGCCTCTGCTGCACACACACCTGTACATTTCACGGTCCGTTAGCAATGTGAATAAGCATTTTTATTATTAAAACTAACTTTTCTGTGATTATCTGCTTACAGGAGATGGGGAGAGTAACACTTCCCAGCCCCAGAAAAAAACCTGCTGTTTTACAGATGTCTGGAAAGCATCTGAGAATCTTCAGAGAAAAGGTACCACCAAACTTACCTACAACACGTGTTAGGAGCAGCATTTTTCTTCTCCAAGGGTTGTATTCCTTTTAGGTACAGTTTATTCCGACACATACTTTCTAATTTTGCCATGGTCTCCAAGTGGGCATTCTTCAACTCTTCTAGCTTCAAGTAATATTCTTGATTTGAATTGCACATTTTGGAAGAGTCTATCCACTTGTCACCACGTCCATTTAGAGAGAGGGTCTGCTCTCTGTCAGTACTCTAATCCAAATCAAAACAGCCTAAAAGAGATGTGTTTAAAGTTTTCTGACTGTTAGAAGAAAGGTGAACAAGGTTTTTGATATTGCTTTATCCTAATTAAGTCTAATTAAGTATACCAGAGATACTGGTATACAAATGTTAATGCAGAGCTACACGGAATAATCTTATTGCGTAATATTTTATATCCTAAGGGTCCTATTTAAAGTATGTAAAATTCCTAAATCTGTCCCTGTAATCAATATATTTATATATTTATACCAGAAAATATGTTCAAAAGGACTTACAAAAAAAAAAAAAAAGTTTAACTATTTTGTAAAGTGTAACTTTTCCTTTCTTATGCAGCTTGAATTAATTCTTTATTTTAAATAAAGCAAGTAAAACCACAAGAGAACCTTCTCTGTCTTCCATTTAGCATTCTAAAATTCTCCCAAGCATTCTAAAAATCACTCATTCGATACCTTATGTATAAATGCTTACTCCCATTTCCGTAACTTACGGTGACATGACAGGGATTCTGCACGGCTTATAGTTCCAATACTGTTTGGCAGCTTGCAGCTGTGTGCATGTAAGCACAGTGTTTAAATATTTTTTAAAGCTTTAAGAGTTCGAGAAGTTATTAAAACCAGGGGACTTTGCATTACAAAGGCTTCCTTTGTGTTGTTTTTAAGCACCACGTTTTAAAAAAATTACAGGACTCGTTTCTTTATCCTCAAATTAGACTAATCCTTTTCTACACAGAAGTATTTTAATAAGAAGTCTCGGGTACGTTTTGTCAGGTTGGCCCTACACCCCATCTCTGTTTTTTTTTCGCTTTTTCTCTCGAGCCGCACAACCCCGGCCCGGGGGCTCTTACCTCGGCTCCTCAGCGCCGGGGCCGTGAGACGCTCACGCATTGCTGCTGCCGGCCCAGCTGTCGGGTTTTTTTTTTTTTTTTTCCTCCGTCTCGGCGTGCGTGTCCGTGGGCCGCGCGGCCGCACGGAGCCGCCGAGCGATGCGAAACCAAACCCCGGTGCGGGGGAGGGCCCGGCCACGCTGAGCCCCTCACCCGTCCCCCGCGGCCGCACCGAGCTTCCCGCCTCCCACCCGGCCCTGGGCCTGCCCGGCGACCCTGGGCGTGCGAGGGGGCCCGGGGCACCCCCCCACCCACAACACACACACGCACACGCACCCCCCCCCGCGGTACGTGCGCGGCGGGGGGCGGCCCGTTGAGCGGAAGGGGAGGGCGTTACGGGCCGGGCCGGCGGGCCGGGGCCGGGGCCGGGGCCGGGGCCGGGGCCGGGGCCGGGGCCGGGGGCCGGGGCCGGGGCCGGGGCCGGGGCCGGGGCCGGGGCCGGGGCCGGGGCCGGGGGCCGGGGCCGGGGGCCGGGGCCGGGCTGCCCCGCTCGCCTGCAGCCGCAGGGCTTCCTCCCGGCCCTGCTCGCCTGCCCGACCTCCCTACCCAGGTTTAGGTAACTTTTTTTTTTTTTTTTTTTTCAGGGTTTTCGTTGGGAATACTCTTGACAAGCCCCCATTTCTCACCCCGTAAATTATTGAAGAGTCTGCTCCTCTCCTGAACTTTACACCGTAAGCGTGAACGAGGGTAAACCAGGATCGGCAAGAATATTCCACCTCTGTGGGGAGGCATTCATGGTTGCTGGACCTACTTCTTGGAGTGAATTACATTTTTATGCGAAGAGCCAGGTGAAAAGATTACATCACACGTGAGTTGTCAAGCTTTGTCATGAATTGGAAGTTTGTGATGATGGGGATGGAGCGCTTTAATCAAAGTTAAATCCTAAACTGTGAGATCATTGCTGGATTTAATCCTGGGGGTAAGGCATCATTTGTAATTTTAAACAGACAATAGATAATTCATGCAGAGCATCGATGCCTAAATTGATCATTTATTTTAGAACCTGAATTACTCTGAATGTCCTACTTCAATAGCTAAGTCATAGGAAAGTATTTCAGCAACAGCTGGTCAATACGGTGGTGGAAGTTTACTCAAAAGCTACAGCTCTGACCCATCTAAGTAGAAATGTGAGTCATTAAAGAAATACTCTCCTTTAAAAGGAATTCCTCCTTTAAAGAGGAATCTGCTCACCACGGTATAGCAATAATGAAGATCAAAGGGTTAATTCAAAATTTCAGGCTAAATTGGAAAATGTTTGTTCTAAACTCTGAACCATAACATTAAGAACAAATTCAACTAAGCTGAACCAATCCCAGGGCAGCTGGGCTGTTCCTGGTGGCTGGGCACCGGCCTCACAGCTCCCCCCAGCACTGGGCACGCACTCACGCAGAGGTGCAGTGCCATGAACACGGGGTACCCATTTCCTTCAGCTATTAATGGATTTTAATGGACATTCTATGACTTGGTTTAGAAAAGTATAATTTGTATTATTATGAAATAGGGTACTTCTTTTTGCCTTCTCAGCCGGTTTTAGGAAAACCAGCTAAGTTGGCAGGGGAGCAGGGGTGTGGATTACTTAAACTGTCTGGAAGTTTCAGTCCTAGGGTTCTCCTCAACAGAACTGGGAACTGAACACCACTGTGATGGAACTGACTGAAAAAAGTTACAACCGTTTCAGAGACATTTGTTATCCAAAACTGATTTTAAATCAATCCCTTATTAATACAGATAATCCTTGTTCCAGTAGTTTTTAGAACTAGGTTTAGTTCTGACACTTGCACTTCACTTTTGTATAATCTGCCCTTTTGTAACACTCTGGGCTCAGGTGACAGCAGCAGACAGTGCAGACTGCAGGAGACAAAACAGAGCAAGGAATGCGATAGCATGCCAAGTGCTATCACTGTAAAGCTACTCATCACTCAAGTCAGTCACAGTTCGGGGAAATAGGACCACTCCATTCTGGCAGTTTTAGAAAAGCAGCTCTATGCTAGCATGTTACTAGAGTGTAAGTTCAAGGGTGATTTTAGAATATACTACAAGAGCTAAGTATTTGCTGTCAAACTTTTCAGAGCCAGGGAGGAGCACATAGCACAGAAAAGCAAATGTAATAAAAGTTTACCTTAGTTCTAGCAAGCTTATAAAGCAAAGACTCCAACTACGGCACGTTTATTGATAAACAGCATTTGCTTTTTGAAAACAGATTTTTTTTTAAATTAACCTGACAAAAGTACATAAGCCTTTGTGGACTTTAAGACAATTCACACCGTTGCTTTTGGTGAGGAGACCACCTTCCCAACTACACAGAAGGAGCTCTAGGGCACAGTCCCCACTTCCTTTGTTCAGCTTATCGTGTGTTCACCTGCAAAGAAGAGTTCACACAGTCAGGCACAGGATACTTAACAATTGCTTCTCCTCTGCTAAAAAATCCTTGGGCTTTAGTCACTGTCTTACCTCATTACTTTACAGTACAGTATTTAGAATGCATTTCATTTTGTTCCAGTTGCAGTTATTAGAAGGCCAAATGACCCCTGTGGCATGTAAACAGAGAGTACTACACAATAACTGTATTTTGAAGCACAGCAAATTAGAGGACAGTAACTATTCTGGTGCTTGTGAAAAAGAGACTAAACAAAACATGACACGAACACCACTCACCACATCATCAATCTTAAGAATACTGCGCACAGTTTCCGTTGCGAGAGTCAATGCACTCAGAGACACGAGCAGCGGCTGGACAACCAACTCCTCCAAGATGTTGGAAATGCCACCCTACGGGGAGTAAGTAGCTTTTACTTTGTGCAAGTCAGACTACAGTTAGATTTAGCAAGTTCTCTTTTAGCAGAATCCTCAGGACGCTGAACGCAAAATTTGACTATCAAAGGATTAGTACTCTTCCATCCGTAACAGGAATATTGTAGTATGCATTTCTGACCACCAAGCACTTGACACATCCAGTCAAAATTGACCAAGAGAAAAGATAAACGGCCTTATGCTAGCTTAAAGGTGGTGACAATTTAAAAGCAGCTAGCCCACTGTACTACCTGTAACCTATCTGCAGTGGAAGGTGATCCTAATACTGATGGACCATTCTAAGTGTATCTATTTTTATAGCTGAAACAACGTTTTTGAAGATACACAAGAAGTTTCTTGTCCGGTGCGTATGGCATTTACGTATCTGCTATTATTAATACTCTGGCTAAGCTGTTAAAGCCTCTGAGAACAAGTTATATATAGCTACCTCAACACTGTTTTTAAGGAGAATACCATTATGAGATGCAACCTTGCCCTCTCCTTAGTTTAGCTCTAACGCTAGGCATTTTCTTTTAATGCCCAAATATTTCCTTAAGCGATACTATGCATATGTAACTCCTCGTTACCTTTCTGACGTTAATGCCAGCTGTTTTCTCTCCTTGAGCATGTCTGTTTCTCAGCTCTGTTACTGTTGAGATAGGGTTGAGACCTGCGTTCTCAGCCAGCGTGGATGGTATGACTTCCAGCGCGTCTCCATACGCACGGACGCAGTACGAGTCCATGCCCCTCAAAGTGCGAGCATACTCGTTCAAGCGCAGTGCCAACTCTATCTCTGGTGCTCCACCTCCTGCAATTAAAGCTCTGAGGACAGAAGTTTAAAAAATCAAACCTCATTTTAAGTAAGTGCATAAAATATTAGCTTTCTGTAGTATTAATATACTCTTAACCAAAGCAAGACGTTACCTTTTCTTAACTAAGCATCTTATGACGCACAGGGCATCGTGAATTGAACGCTCAGCTTCTTCTAGAACAAGTTTGTTGGATCCACGTACCACAATGGTTACCGTTTTTCCAGGGTTTGTGCAGCCCGTAATCTGAAACATAAAACCAAACACTAAGACTGGGAAAAAAAAAAAAAGAAAAAAAGAAGAAAAGGGTTCTAGACAGAGTTCTGTTGGTATCTGGAAGTTCTATAACAGTACTGACATCTGGCTCAGCAAAACCACCCCACTTCCCAAGTTGGTGGCTACTCACAGAATAGAATTAGATACTTACTTCAGTAGTAAAAACCACGGAAGTTAGCAGTTGCTATTGAAGTAACTGGCAGATGTTAAGTAGGTATTAACATTCTGTCACTCACTCACCTTTATTAGTTTCCCAGAACCGTTCAAGTTGACCTCCTCTGCCAGCTCAGCAGACCCCAGCATGTCAGGAGTAAACTGGTCAATATGAGCAACAGGCTTAGTTCCAATTGTCTGGAAAAATAATGGGGAAAAAAAATAAAAAAACAATCCAGAACCTGAACTGCAGAGTCACCAAGTATACTGCAAAGCATTTGCCTGTATATTACAGTAAAACGCAGTTAGAACTATGGCTTTTACATCTGTCTTGAATCTTTCCACAAATGTGACTGTTCAACAGAACAGGAATGGTTCTTTATGGAAATGTCTGCTCTTGCATTACAGTCAGAACATAAAACTTGCGAAAGTGTCGTAATAAACTGGCACTGGCTGGGTACTTAGTTTTGGGTAGACTTTAATCACTGCTGCTACTTTAACAGCCGTTTACATAACTCACTTTACCTTACATATAAACTCAATGTCATCTCTTTCAATGTCTT